TCCCGCACATATACTTGTCTTTCACTATGATGGGCATTTCATCATTTCCACAGGGCCAAAGATGGAGTTACAGGAAGTCCTATGTGTAATACTTCTAATCTGTGACCTTCTGTCAGCAACTTGTGGAAAATTCCACCGAGATAATGTGTACAGGGGGGAAAAAAGGAGGAGCTGGATTCCAATGACTTTCAAATCCAGCACTCCACGTGCTGAAGATAATTGGCACAGGCATGCAAGCCTGACGGGAACTGCTTAGCACAGGCTGCTTCTGCTTTCTGTGACCATTGCTGATCCCTCTGGTCGGATGGCAGCGCACCTGCTGGGCTTGAGGAGGAGGATAAGACAGCAGCACTGAAGGAAGTGGGGGTCACTTCTTGGATTTCCAAAGATCAACAAAGTGAGAAATGCTGTACAAAACAAGTAAAACCCTGCCAGTCTCCTACTATTGTTAGAGATGTCTTTCTGTTGGGTTTAAAGGTCTTCCTGTCTTCAAGCATCCGAGGTGGGCAGAAGATAAAGTCCCCTCCCCTCCACAATTCTACTGCCTCCGTAACCTTGGATCTTGGCCTTGACAAAGGCTTGTCATGTCTTGGAATTAGAAATGTCTCCCACCCCATCTTTCCCTATAAACCCTTGTGAAGACAGAGAAACAATGAGGCAAGTGTGAACTCACTGGAGAAATATAATTGTGCCAAATATATAAACAAATAATGGCTCTCTCTCCTCTTACTTCCAATTCACTGTAGGGTTACAAATGTTTGTTCTGTCTTCAGCCAAAGAGCCTCGCCTTCGCTGGCTGTCCTTTGCTGGCTGTGTCCAATTCTCGTGGACCTGGACAATTTGGTGGCCAATCCCATTTTGTTTTATCTGAGTCTAACTCTTTGCTCAGGCCCCCAGGATCAGCAACTAACAAATCTCAGAAGTTCTTGAGTAAATGGGTAACTTACATAAACTCTCACAGATGTGTACCACCAATCTTTGGGCTTTTGTGCACAATTTTTCTGCACTATCCATGAAGGGGTTGCGCTAACCATGTAGCCATTGAAAAGGCCCTCACCAATCAGAGTGGTGGGACCAAGGGAAGGGACTCCCCAGATGATCTTAAGAACTTGGGAGAAGTATGTTGGGAGATAAGGCCAACATTCAACCTTTTTTGCTTCTCTACCAAAGACTATCAAGCCATTCGATTGATTTATACAGCCACAACGAACAAATGCAAATTAATTTTTATTTTGAAAAAGGTTATTAGTAAATGCGAGAAAGGCTGAAAATCAACAGTATGAAGAAACCCAACAAGCAGGATTCTTTAATTATTTAGAAATTGTGAAGCACTTGTTTATTCAAATTTATAAGAGTGTTTTATTAATGGAACTCCTAAATGGCTCCCTCCATTTTTCTTGAACCAGGAGAGGGAAAAGGGCAAATCTGGACCCTGAACAATATAATTCAAGAATTTTCCCTCTAATATTGCATTATTTTATGAGTGACAGCAACTCTTGATCCTTTTGAAAAAGTATTGTCTACAGATCATCATAATAAGAAACCACAATTAAATTAGCCACCTTTCACTCTGGCACTTAAAAATGAGATGCTTAAACAAGCCCTCTTGTTGCAATTTGGTACTCCAACTTGGAAGAAATGGCTCTGGAACTTGAAGATGCAATCTGATCTTCCTGAACATGGGTTGGTCTCCTTTGTCATGTTGTGGTTTAGTCATAATCCTCCTGAGTCCTATTCTGTTACTCTATCCACTACTACACCACACTGGGTATCCCAGCATAGCTACTACCCTGCAAGAATTCTAATGATTGACCAAACATTGTTACAGAGTGAATGGGTTGGATAAGAGATATTAGAGAAGATGCTGAGTTTGTTGCTATAATTCTCAGATTACTGAATATGCTGGTGTTGACATTTGATACTTTATATTTGAAAAAAAAGTGGTGTATAAAATCTTTGTAATAAATAGATTAACATATGTTTTTCTTACTGGATGCTGGTAAGTACCCCGTTTAGGATAGTGGGCAGTCTGGAGTATCGTATGGCCCCTGGTCCACTCCAGGGATTGTGTAAGTGTGACCACGCTAAAACGAAAGGCATGGCTTTTGGCAAACATGTGCTTGGCAAATGCACCAGAAATCTGATTTAAACATCGATTTTGCAAGGCAAGTTGGTTTTAAATTCCCTGCTCAGAGTACTTACAATGTACTGCAAGCAGTGGAACGCACAACATTCTTAACAGTATGTTCTGCCATTATGTTCTTGTTCTGTTGATGCTCAGTGCACCCCACACCTTTCTGGGATCACCCATTCATATACAGCCAATATAGAAAGTGTTATCTTTTAAAAAGAGAAAAGTTGGTATTAAAGGGGAAATGGGGACTCACAAACAGTTGCTGGAGTGCTAGAACGATTAACTGCCTTTGTATTTAAGACATTGTAGCTCTTGCAAATATATTTTATGTTACTTTATAAATATATTACCTTTTGTATCAAGACAAGAAATGATATCTTCCTAAACCAGTGGCTAGATTTTTTTTCCATTCCAGTGTACTGTGGAAAACAAGTAGACCTTAAGATAAACATTTAAATCTGTACTGGACTGAAACATGAATCTAGATCTAATGTTATATTAATAATATTTGGACCTTGTGAACATGTTGGCTGATATCCAGTTCCTTCAACCTGTGCCACACAAGACTGCTGATATCATCAGCTCTGGCAGTTTTAGAGAAATAAAATATTACCAGTTCTCTCCCAAAGGTCCTGAAGGCTCTCATGGGATCCCGTGTTGTGGAAAAACCATTTGGAGCTGTGGGATCAGAGGGGCTTCCCGAGGACAAAAGGGATCCCATGGGAGCCTGAAGACCTCCAGTGATGGTGGAGGAGGAGTCAGAATTTTTGTATTTGAAAAAATGCAGTGGCTGCCGACATCACCAGTCTTAGGTGATATAACTTCTGCCAACAGGATTTTTGCTGTTCTGTGGCCTTTATTGCCATTGATAAGGCAATCTGTGCTTTTGACAATCAATAATTCCATGTGAAGTGTGTGATCTTTTAGTAGGATTCTGGGACAAACTGGCTACCTCTCATGTTATACAGTTCCATCCACTTCCATCCAAGAGGTTCTGCCTAGCAGAGCTTGGAGAAGTGAGATTCTTGGTCTACAACTCTCAGGAATCTGCTAGGATTTCTGGGAATTGTTGGCCAAAGTAGTTGTTTTTCCATGCTTTGTTGCCCAGGTTGTATCAGATAAGGACAGCACAGGACAACTGTGGATGGGAACAGTGTCTCCTAGGTTTCAGATATCCTGATTCTTTGAAAACATTGGAGATTATATGCCAGGATCTCTAGCCGGAGAAGATCAGAGACTGCATAATAGAAATTTTTGTACATGTTATTTGGCGGAATGATGCACATCCTAATAAAAGTCATGGAAATTACTTGAATTTCAGAAAGCAGAATATTCTTCAGAAGTAAAGCAATAGTTTTCTCACATATAAAGGCATTCCTGCTTTGTAAAGTGAAGCAAAGATAATAGCTAATATATAAATTGAAAATTGTTGCAAATTTTGCTAATATATGAATTGAAAATTGTTATGAATTTTGTGTTATAACAAAAAGTAGGACTTGCAACTTGTGGTCCCTTCAATAGAACCTTAATTCTCCATACACTTTCTGACAACGTATATTTTTTCCAAGAAGTTTTAGGGTTAAAAGTATTGTTAATTTACCGTGCACGTTTGCCAGCTTATCCATTCCTAGGATGTATAGAAATTACTTTCTTAGGCTTGGCTGGCCCATTTCACTCCCAAACGGATAGATCCCCAACCAGCCAAACTGGCTATTTGCGGGACCTGAATCATAAATGTTACAGGGTGGAGTGCGCTTGTAGGGCAGGCTCATTGTCCCAGCCTGCCATCCATGTTGTTTCTGTGTGCAGTTGATGTCATTTCCTCCCAATGTTCCATTCCTCCCAGACTCTGTGTTGAATGCCTGTTGAGTCCACTTGGTTGTTGTCATTTGGCCGATATGAAGTATTTTACTCCTGAACTCCTCCTCCACCCCTATTCCAACCTTGAACTTCTACTTCTGCAAATGGTGGTGTCCCCCCCAAGATGGTTGATTCAGTTTTCTCTCAAGCCTGGGTGCTACTTTTTCATTATATAAGAATTAGCATGCACAATACTAAAGTAGAGAACATATCGCCCTTCATTTGTTGTGGGATTGCAACTCTTATCAGCCCTAGCTAGGGATATAACACATACTTGAAAGTTTTTTTGTTCCTTGATCAGGAAAAAAGGGAGCATCTTGTGGCATCACTGAAATATACTGTTGAAAAATGTGCAACCACTTTGATATTCTCACTCCTTATATGTGAGCAAAATGACCAACATTTTTTCCATAAGTAACACATTTGCAAACAATGCTGCATTTTGTGTGAACCACTTATATTTTGCACAAAATACACAGCTTTCTGAAAAAGATTTACAGGTTTCCCGGGCAAATCTACTTCTGTGAATTTTTCACAAAAGAGTGCTGAAATGCAAAAATGCACAAAAAGTGTCATAATCTTGACCAGAGGGGAGAAAGCTGCTGGAATTTTTGTTCTTGTTATTGGCACCTGTGTGAATGACATAAGCAATGATTCACCTCCCATATTAAGTGGTGGGAGAGGATGGAGGTTGGATCCAATGGCATCTGGATGATGACACTTAGCCAGTTCCATTACACGAGATAATACAATGACTGGCCTTAAATTAATTGCTCAGCCCAGTTAGAGTCAACCCACTGGATCAAGTGGTGAATAACAATTCGGATGTACATTTCACTGATTTTTATGAGTTTACTCTAGTTGCGTCTAGAAAGTAGATGTTCTCTGCAAAATGAAGAAATTCTGTCTTAACTATTGATTCACTAGGCAGATATTGTTTGCTTATATTTTGCATTCAGAGGGCTTATTAGACCATTTGAAATGATGTTTATTGTTTGTTTCCTAGGGGGCAGCACAGGGACTTCCCCAACAACGTCGAGCACAGGGACTCCCTCACCCTCTGCATCTTCTCATCTTCTTTCTCCATCCTGTTCACCACCAGCCTTTCATTTGGCCCCCAATTCTTTCAATGTTGGCTGTCGGGAGAGCCAACTCTGTAACCTTAACCTCTCCGATTATCCTCCTTGTGCAAGAAGCAACATGGCTGCCCTGCAGAGCTACCCTGGGTTGAGTGACAGTGGGTACAATCGCCTCCAGAGCAGTGCTACCTCTGCCACTCAGCCCCCTGAAAACTTCATGCCTCAGCGGACTCCATCCTTGATCTCAGGAATGCCTGCTCCTTCTTCACTGCCTAGCAACAGCAAGATGGATGCCTACGGTGGCCAGCTGGGATCATTCCCAACTTCTCAGCTCCAATATGTCATGCAAGCAGGCAACCCTGCCTCCAGCTCTTCTTCTTCACCTATGTTTAGTGGTGGCCACATGCAACAGAGTTCCTACAATGCATTTTCCCTTCACAACCCTTACAACTTGTATGGATACAATTTCCCAGCATCTCCCAGGTTGGCCGGAAGCCCTGAGAAACTGGCCACCACTCAAAGCACTTTACTTTGCTCTTCGCCTTCCAATGGAGCATTTGGAGAAAGGCAGTATCTTTCAGCGGGGATGGATCACGGGATGCATGTCATTAGTCCTCCCGGCAACAACCAGCCAACAGCCAATGCCTGCGAGAATAGACAGTATGGGGCTGTCCCGGGGCCCTCCTCACAAATGTCCGTGCACATGGTTTAATTGGTGCCTTGGAGTCATCATCTCGGTCCGCAATGAGCAAGAATCTCCTTATTTCTATAGGTGATCTCATCTCTCTTGCTTTTCGACATAAAAGAGGACTTGTATTGGAATGAAAAGTGAAAATGCAAGCCATCTCTAGCTGCACTCCAAAGAACCAGACAGCTGCAGACTGAAATAAAAAAAAGTATTGTGTAACTGAACAGCTTCTGCTCCCAATGGATTGCTTTAAACAGAGGAAATGGCATTGTTTGCAGTAAATGGGGCGGGGTTGGGGGGTTGGGGTTGGGGAGTGAGAGAGACTTATATAGTATATGCAATAACCATCTGAGCTTAAGTGTGAACTATTTACAATAGAGGAAGGCCAGTGTGTGTGCTGTTCTTTCCCTTTTTCCCAGATGCAAGCAACGCTTCCTGAAGACCTCATCTTAATAAAGCTGCACTGCCCATAAGAGGTCATTGCTTTAACATCTTCATCTTTCCCTGATTTGTCATCTACAAGCTGTTAATTCAGATTTATGGCCTTCCCTCACCCAGTATAGTCAAAAAGAGAAAGGACCTTGTATCAGAACTAAAAATTTCACTTTCTTGAGATGTTTTTGTTTTCTTGCCTTTGAGTGCCTTGTTACTCTTCTCGGAGAACAATAAATGTGTCCATACAAAAGCCTGCCTGGTTGGAAGCAGCGGGGGTGGGAAGGGTAACCATCTTTTTCTGTAACGATGCAAGCAAAACACTTTGGTAGCATGCTTTGTAAGAAGAGGCAGAGTCTCTCCTGTGTGTAGGATTTTATTTTGAAAATGCTGTGTTTTAAGAGAAAATAATGGTATTAGAAACAGCAAGCAATGCTCAAAACATGTACCATCCACAGGAGTCAGTTGTAAAGGAGGGGCATCACCAGAAGGAGATCATAGCAAATGGTGACCAGATATTCTGAGTATACATCCAAAATCTAATTAATTTGCAAGCAGGACCGGCCTTAGATGAGTAGACAGCATCCTGGATGAGGAGCAGCTTCAGCTTCTCCTGCTGTCAGCTTTAGGAGCCCCTAGCAGGTGTGATCCTGGGACCCCCTGCTGCTCTCCTGCCCAAGGACCTACATGTGTATGTTCTCCACTGATACATAGCAAACGACAAATGACTTTAAGCTGGAAATAAAACAAGAAATGCATTGTAAACCTAATTGAAGGAAGATCATTTTTTTGGAATTAGCGCCAAAACGAATTGAAAAAAGGTCACAGAGATCTGCTTTTTGCTACCTAGCCAACTCTAGATAGTAGACTGAAAATACATCTTTAATTTCATTGAGGACAACTGCCCCCACTCTCAGCTTAACATCCCAGGTAACTGTAGAGCTCTCCCACATCAAGGTGGGCCTTACTTGCGAATACCAAAGAAAACATTCACTGTTAGGTCAGGGACAATCATTATAACCCATCTAGCTTGTTGTTTTGGCCTGTTCTGTTTTATTTTTTCTTCAACTCTTGTAAAAAAATAGGCAAACAAGTGATGCTCAAGCTAAGAAGTTTTAAGATGTGTGAAAAGCCAAATACCAAATAACACAATACAGAAGCTACAATATAGAGATTTTGTTTTGATGTGTTGTAGATAAATGTATTTATGTCCCTAGTGTGCGTGGGAGGGAAGGGAATTCAGTATTATGGATATTAAAAAAGGGAAATGAATGGGTATGTGAAATATATATTAAGAAAGAAATTGTATGAAGATTTACCCTATGAGGGGAACTCTTGTTTTTAGGTGAAAAGCACAGGAGTGGGTGCAAAATAAACCTTTGTTCCTTCTGTGTTTTGTCTGACTGGAAGTAAAAGGGTTTCAATATCAAAGGGGAAATCGAATGTCAATGAATCAGAGAGGGCTCTTGCCATGGAGCGCCATCCGAGCTTCCTCCAAGATTTGCATGACAGATGCCCCATAAGAGTGAACTGAATGCTGGTTCTAAGCTGCTCTTCACCTGTGTGTCAGGTGGGCTACCTGGCATGAAACAAAAATGCACGCTATGTTGAGAACACAAGAATTATGCTACTTGTTTATATATTCTTCCTCCTGCTTAAAAAAACACAAACCCAGCTGTTAAGCTGCTGCTGGGACTGGAGCTTAGGGTTTCTTGACATCCAGATGGGTTTTCTTCCATGCATGCTCTAATATGTTGAAACACTGGCAGGAGAAGTTCTTTTAAATGCTTTTATTGGAAACAAAGCCTTTTTGTCAGAAGCAAATCCTATTAACAGAACAGCAGAGCCGCCTTTGGCTGTGGTACATTCGCGCCCATTAAAATCAAGAGAGAGAGTTACACATGCATTAAGCAGGACTGACAGATATCCTCCAGGCTGGCCAACAGAGACAATCACCTTCCATATGGTGGATGATAGACAAGATGTTTGTGATAGAGTGACAGTAGCAAGTTTGGATCTAGAGACAGACAGTGGCAGTCTTACCTTGTTCCAAGGAAGGGCGAATAGTTCAGTGGTACAGCACCCACGTCACATGCATAAGGTTCCAAGCTCAATCCTAATTAAAGAATTCTAGGGAGCAGAGCTTGGAAAGAAAATCCAGAGAGATTCAGCAAAGGACACCAGTATTGAGCTAGAAGGCTTTTTCATCTGACCTGATACAAAGGCAGCTTAATTGGATCATATATATATATTTCTGCAATTTCTGCTGTGCGTATGTGAGAGCTTTTTGAAGGCACCACAATGATTGCTACATCTGATCTCTGCCAGTATTTAGTGCTCCTCCTCCTCCTCCTGACATTACCTCCCCAACCGGCACTGGATGAAATGCAATTTCTATGGAACCTTTCAATTATTCTGGCGAGAATTCTCTTGCATAACAGAAATCATTTAGGTCTTGTGGGCACGTTGCTGCTTATTAATGCTGGGTGCATTCCTTTGTGCGTGCCTGACTTATACACATCCAAGAGCATCACCTCCACCTCATTATTGTGCTACAATTTGCTGCCAAGATTTATGCCATTTCGTGTATGTTAGGGTAAAGCAGCAAAAGGATTCTGGCTTCTGAGGCTAGTAGGTTTAGAGGGGAGTGAAGAAATATATCCTGAGAAGCCCTTAAATTTTTTTATGTTGTTTACTCTTTTAATTCTGCCTGTTGGACTGTTTCCTTTCCATCTTCTGGTGCCTTGTCCCTTTTTTTTCATGCTCTCATTTATTTCTTTTTCCGAGAACAGTCACATTGGTAATCCCAGCAATCAGGGATCCCATGAATGGGATCATGTCGTGACACAGGGGTGCCAGTCAACTCTGAAGACAGAAAACTCCAAGTGTGAGACGCTTCTTGCTGCTCCTGAAAACATTCTTGAAATGCAGTACATAGTTTGTTACTCTTCCCTGAAATGTACCCCTTTCTCCATGATAAGAAGAGACTTTGCCCTGTAGTTAAAATCTTTTTCAGTATTGGAGTTGCACAAATAAACCCATTTTCCCCCATGTACCTCGTCACTAATTTTCTTCTAATAAAATCCGAATGCAGCTGGTTTGGATGATCCAAGCTACCTCAACATAGTGTCGCAAGTCTCAGGTGTGAAGGGGGAGCAGGTGTTATCGCTCTCACTCTCCCAGGCTGGTCACTGGAAGTTCCACATGGCACCTCATGGTAATAAACTATCTGAGGATCTGAAAAAATGAAGTGTTGCTCTACATAAAGATGGCCTAGGCTACAAGAAGACTGCCAAGCCCCTGAAACTGAGCTGCAGCACAGTGGCCAAGACCATACATTGGTTTAACAGGACAGGTTCCACTCAGAACAGGTCTCGCCACAGTTGACCAAAGAAGTTGAGTGCCCGTGCTCTGTGTCTTCCAGAGGATGGCTCTGGGAAATAGATGTATGAGTGCTGCCAGCATTGCTGCAGAGTTTGAAGGGGTGGGGGTACAGCCTGTCAGTGCTCAGACCATACGCCGCACACTGCATCAAAATTGGTCTCTATGGCTGTCGTCCCAGAAGGAAGCCTTTTCTAAAGATGATGCACAAGAAAGCAAATACGGTTTGCTGCAGACAAGCAAACTAAGGACATGGATTTCTGGAACAATGTCCTGTGATCCGATGAGACCAAGATAAACTTATTTGGTTCAGATGGTGTAAAGTGTGTGTGGTGGCAACCAGGTGAGGAGCACAAAGACAACTGTGTCATGCCTACAGTCAAGCGTGGTGGTGGGAGTGTCATGGTCTGGGGCTGCATGAGTGCTGCTGGCACTCGGGAGGGAACCATGAATGCCAACATGTACTGTGACATACTGAAGCAGAGCATGATCCCTGCCCTTTGGAAACTGAGCCGCAGGGCGCTATTCCAACCTGATAACGACCCCAAACACACCTCCAAAATGACCACTGCCTTGCTAAAGAAGCTGAAGGTAAAGATGATGGACTGGCCAAGCATGTCTCCAGACTAGAGATGGGGATGACTTATCATTTTGGTGAGTTGTCCCACTTTGTGAGTCGTCAAAAGTTGGGGAGGTATTTTTTTAAAAACACACACCCTGTCCCCTTCCTATTAAAAACAAAATCAACTAAACAAACAAACAAAAACACCATTCTGCCTACCGGCCACCAATCAGCTTGATTGGTGGCAGATAGGCAGCCGCCCCCCCCAGCCACCCAACTCCACAGCCTACCCTCCCTACTCCCTTCTTTTCCCTACCGTAGCCCTTCCCCACCTCCACCAATGGCAGCAGCAGCTTCCCTATTGTTGGGGTGGCTGGCTGTGGGGGTGGCTGCCTATCTGCCGCTGATCAGCTGATCGGTGGCCGATAGGCAGAATTGTTTTTTCCTTTTTCTTTTAATAGGAAAGGGGTGTTGGGTTGGGTCGGGGAGGCCTAAGGTAGGGAAAGGAAGAGGGTGGCGGGACTGGGTGCCTATCTGCTGCCTATCTGCTGCCAATCAGCTGATTGGCGATTGGTAGGCAGAATGGTGGGGGGTTGGGTGTGTTTTTTTGTAATACGAAGGATGAATAAAAATGAGTAAATATTTGTCCCTTCATATTCGTGGAGGTCTCTGGAACCCACGAATATAAAGGGATGAATATTTAACAAATCAGCTATTATCGTCGAAAAAGCTGATCTCCAGACCTAAATCCTAATGACCATCTGTGGGGAATCTTGAAATGGAAAGTGGAGGTGCATAAGGTCTCTAACATCCACCAGCTCTGTGATGTCCTCAGGGAGAAGAGGACTCCAGTGGCAACCTGTGAAGCTCTGGTGAACTCTATGCCCAAGAGGGTTAAGTCAGTGCTGGAAAATAATGGTTGCCACACAGAATATTGACACTTTGTGCCCAGTTTGGACATTGTCACTTAGGTGTGTACTCACTTTTCTTGCCAGCGGTTTTTTAGACATTAATGGCTGTGTGTTGCATTCTTTTGAGGGGACAGCACATTTACACTGTTATACAAGCTGTAGACTCACTGCTTTACATTGTAACCAAGTGTCATTTTTTCAGTGTTGTCACATGAAAAGATATACTAAAATATTTATGAAATGTGAGGGGGTGTACTCACTTCGGTGATATACTATAAGTAAGACAAGGGCACACAAGAATGGCACATCCACACACTGAACTGTGAATCTGCCATCCTGAATAAGATTTCTGTTGCCATGGTGTAAGTCACATTTAATTTCAGAGAGGTCAAAACTATCATTATCTGAAAACCTTCTAAGACCAAAGAAATCGTCAGTAATATCACTGTGCATCTACAATCCAGCTTAAAATACTCCCAATGGTGGTTTATGGAATATATGAATATCTGTTTTAAATATTTTATATTGTAATCACCATCTACATATGTAAATACAAATGAGGATTCTAATAAAAAGTGCTTAAAACAGACACATCCATAAAGCTCATATGATACGTACAAGGTGGAGCTCTTTTCTGTTAAGAGTAGCCTAGAACGACCAGGTCTTTAGCATGTATTTAAAGAGAGGCCGGCATCCATACACATCCTTGGTGAAGGTTTTCCAGAAGGCTGGATCTATCAATTATATGCCCACCAGGACCAGAGATTCCTCCCTCCCCTAGCTGCTGATCTCCTCTCCTCTTCCACCCCACCCCATCTGGCAAAGGAGCGAGGAGGGGCGGTCAGGGAGAGACAGAATGGCGCCTGACATCTGTAGCGATCGTACTGCGGTTAATTGGTTCCCCTTCCCACAGCACCCAGAAAACGGAGCCCTTTGCAAATGAAATGAATTGATAGGAACATCCACATATGCCATGCCAGTACAGAATGAATTGATACATCATCGGTATAAAACAACACAAGGGGGAAAGAAACCTCAGACAGGGAAAATGATTTGATCATGGCCGTGTAGTGTGTGGCTGGAAGCGATTTAACTGGGATATAACTAGGGTTCTTTTGGGTTGTGTGGTCAGGCCCAAAGCTAAAATCCTGGCTTTCTTCATGCATTTACGTATGCTGGATACTTAGACAAGAGGCCTGCTTCTGAAGTATCTTTCTAGTTATGGCCTTTAAAACTATACAGGCCTTCTTTATAGTTTTAAAGCCCCAATATTTTCCAAGGAGGAGAATGGGAGGTGCTGGGAGGCATAGCCATGAGAAAAATCCTTCAGTTTGCTTCTGCCACTAAACTACTTGTCAGATGATGCCACTGGCTGTGCTGAACCTTGCTGACAGCAGTGACCTCAGGTTTGAAGTCAGCTTTTAGTGTCTGAGTAAAGCAGCAGAAAGGTAACATTAATTCAAGAAAAACAACACAGCAGCCAACTTTGTGGGTCTGTTGGATA